AATTTTATTTTAATGTGTGGTGTTTAGTGACCGTTAGTTGATGATTATTTGGAGGCCGTGAGATGCGGTCTGGTGTGATATAGGTTTCAGAAAAACATTTTCTTTATCGTGCTAACATTTTGATCTTTATTGAGATCATCTTCAGGGCTCAAAGTTTTTGTTTTCTGTGTGGGGGTACTCTCAACATGACACACATTAATAACACATCTACCAAGAAAACACTTTGAGCCTTGAAGATGATCTCAATAAAGATCAAAAAGTCAGCACGATAAAGAAAATGTTTTTCTAAACCTACGGCACACCAGGCCGCATATCACGATCTCCAAATAATCTAAATTTTATTTTAAGTTCAAATTTTTGAAAAGTTTATTTTTTACTTTAAAAGAAAGAATTTTTGATTCTTACAAGTTTGGGAGACCCAGTGGAAGAAGAGCCAGTAAATTAAAGCTTAGCGAAATGCTAAAAAGGAAAATTTTAAAAGATCATAAATTTTTTACCCAAATCTACAAACCATACACGGATAGGAATAAATGAGGTGGCCACAAGGCATCCTCGACCTGAGTAGATCTATTGTCTATTCTATTTTTGTAACTCACTGACCAACTTCAGGTTGTTAATCAACCTATGGTCATCAGTACATAGGGGGCCGCGGTATCCGAGTGGTTAAAGCGTCAGACTTTCGGCTAGTAGATCCTGTGGTCGTGGGTTTGATCCCCACTGTCGCCTCTAGACTTTTTTCTGACGCCTAAAGGACCGGTGGTCGAAATTGAAAAAAATTGACACAGCACTCATCAATGGAAGGGGTGGGATCAGATCTCAGCGACCCTGAATTTGGTCCCAACCCCCTTCAAAAATGAGTTTCTTCGGTGGAAGAACACTGGCCACCGGGGGCTCAAATTCACATTTGTGTTGCGAGCCCCCAAAAATATGGAGCCAGGGATAAAGTACAATAAGCTGCACAGCTGCAGTGCTCAGGGGGAACTCTTCCAGTTCCTGGTATCCATTAAAAAAAAAAAAAAAAAAAGTCATCAGCAGGTATCAGGCTATGGAGCGTCAGTGGTACCTCAGTGTAGGCTCTTGCTAGCTGTGCATTTCTTCTTTGTTTTGCATCCAGTGCATATACATTCTTAGGCAACCAGTGTCTTGACAGGAGTCCAACCAGAATCCCATAAAATTTTTAATTGAATAAAATATTTTTCAAGGGTATTTCAACTATGAGGTTATTTGAACCCTCGGGGTGCCGGTGTTAAAAAAAAATTGTACGTATGTCAGGTTTGAATGCAAGGCCGCTGGATTCGAACACGAGCACCGTTTCAACGTCTAAACCGTTGCGGCCACCAATATCCCCAAAATCTCCTTAAAATACCACTTCCCATATTTGACTCTAAAAGCTTAATTCCCAACTATCAATTTGGATTTTGGTCACTCAATTTTACTGTTCATCAATACTTCAGAGTAGTCGACACCATATTCTCGGCTCTTGAAAACAAACAATACATGCATTTCTTTACGAAAGGATTCTGAGTGTGGCATCCCGGTCTCGTTTTCAAATTAAAACTTATCCTCCTTCACACCTACTATCTCATTTTGAAGTTATTACTATTGGATCGATGGTTTAAAATGAGAAATGGTACTGATTTTTCTCCCACCATGGCAATCAAAGCTGGCATACCTACACTTCCAAACACACAACCTGGACGACCACACAATCCCGGTTCTGTTGCGAGTAGCTTCCACTCTTTGCAAGTCTTGCGGATGGCTGTTCTATAAATTTCTTCACATGCCTCATGCCTGAAATGTTGTTCCACCATGTTTTGGTCTAATTAAGGATCTTTGGATGTAGCCTTTTTGTGATTGCTAGGCTAGAATAGGGTTCGGGGCTAGAGAATTCATATCCTTTGTTTTCCAAAATGTCCACATTCTCATTGCCTCTGTCCCGAATACTAGGTCATTGGTGTCACCAATTTCTGCCAGGGATTCCATACTAGGCTTTTTGCCTTTACCTCACATAAGAGGAAAACACACTTATCCGAAGATAAAAATCTCATTTTACAGAACACTTCCGTAAAGAGGTCAAAAGTGACACCATGACTGTCCTTTAGCAATAGGTTTCACTGTATCATTATTTTGACAAAAAGTATTCAGAAAATGTTTTATAATTTTACATTTCTTTTCTATTTGGTGATGCATTTTTTTCTATGGCCAAAAACAAAATCGTGAAATTTACTGATGTAAAGTTGAATTATGTCAATTTAATTCAATGTAACAATTTGATAAAAGATTATTTTTAAGTAGCTGTTTGTCTCTTTCGTAAGACAGTATAAATGCATGTAGGGCAAAAGATAACGTATTAACTAAAACAATGGGAAATTATACAAAATGTTTGACTAATTTTTAATTGACATAAAAGGATAATTATCAATAACTCTTTTCTCTTTGTCTTCCCAAACAACTCCCTAGGGCGATTAAAACCCTTTCTTTAATCGATTTGACACGGAATTAATTAATTGAATATCAAATGAAAGAGTGTGACCTTGGTGTTGAATTTCATAATCTCAGTATTATATTACTTCACACATGAAATTATGCGTCATATGACCTTCAGTACAAGTCCGTTGGCTCCACAATATCGCAACAAACATTTTTATTAAAACATAAAATTTTATGATATTTTATTGTTTGTAATAAATAAATTCTTATCAGCCTAGATGGGATTTCGGCATTGCTATTTATCAGCAGTTCTTCCTTTAACACGCAAAAAGGAAAAAAAAATAATGGCTTAGAAATATAATCAGTTTACTCTATGAGTAAATTAATTCAGTTGACAACAGCAAATACTACAGATAAGGGAAAAATGTGCTAAGTACATCGTCTGATTAGGCATCTAAAAAATGTGAGCTGAAACTATGGATCAGAAGGAAAACAATTTTTTGCCCTTTGATGAAAATAAGAAATAAACATTTCCTTATCTGCCATGTGGAATTTCCGTGGTTTTATTTATCAGCAGATCTTCATGTAAAAACCTTAGCGATGCCATTAAAATTAACTTTTGTAGAGATTAAGGGCTACCCATTTCAAGGATCAGTTATCATTAAAGATGCTCAGCAAGTATCTTTGAACATGTATATGTGCTTTCCTCTGCTGCTTTTAGCTGTTCCTTTACTGCTCCCAGATATGATAGTTCTCTCTGGTTTTTAATTTTCAATGAATTTTCCGTTCATGTTGACATGGTTTTTAAAGAGTCGACCATATTGCTCTATTAGTCTAGATAATATTCCTGCTTATTGAAAAGTTGTGCATACCCTTTGTCCTTTCCTTTTTAAATTTTGTTTGTTGTGTTGTACCGGAGTGTTTGAAAGACATTTTTGTTTTGCCAAGGTTTAGAAAAAAAAGGTAATCCTTCTGTGATACAAAACTATCGTCCAGTTTGCAAGTTTAATTATATTTCCAAGCTTCTTGAGTCAGTTATTACACTTCAGATAATTTCTGTAGACCCTTGTTGATCGACGATTACCATGGTTTTCTGTCTGGTCACTCTACAGCCTTACATTTGGTGGTATAAGGAATTTATAATTAATACATTGGAGAAAGGTAACCGAGTGATGCCGATGCCACTAAAACCTACAATACCAAGTTTGATCATCGATGATGTGGTTCGTTGGGTTAAGGCTTTAGGGGTAGAATTTCCAGTTCATTTATTACTTCAATTGTTTCCCAGGGATCGCACCAGTACTTTTTTTTATGTTTGTCAATGGTGTAATTTCTTCTTTCAAGAGTTTGAAATTTTTATTCCTTGCTGATGACAAAAACCTATGCCATAGTAAATGGCCATGTTTGGGCTTTTACAAAAGGACTTGGATCTCATCTTTGTGCTCTGTCAATAAACTGTTATTAAATATTTCCAAATGTAAATGTATTTACTTTTGTATAAAATAAAGCCTTACCAGTCTTCATATTTTTTAGATAGTGAAAGTTTCAGCTATTCACTATTTTTCGTGGTCCGCTTGACCAATTAATATCATTCAATTAATTAAGTTTTTAAGTTGAGATAAAAAAGTCATTGAAAAATGGTAAAAAGGAGGGAAAATTCAAAAGGTGCGGTTGAGATGGGAAGTTAGTGCCCGAGGGGATCGAAGTCACGATAGATCAAGTGGAAGAGTAGCAGCGTATCAAGCCGAAGGTCATGGGTTCGAATCCCGCTCGTGACATCTCAACTTAAAACCTTAATTAAATGAATGATATTAATTGGTCAAGCGGACCACGAAAAATAGTGAATTTAATGAATTAAAATGAAGTACATTTCACTAAAGCTCTCCGTGGCCATTTCACTTGTCGCCGAGAATCAAATAGATTACACGACATTTGAAAAATGGCAAAAAGGAGGGAAAATTCAAAAGGTGGGGTTGAGATGGAAATTAGTGTCCGAGGGGATCGAAGTCACGATAGCTCATGTGGTAGAGTAGCAGCGTATCAAGAAGGTTGTGGGTTCGAATCCCGCTCGTGACACTGACTTTTTTATCTCAACTTAAAACCTTAATTAATTGAGTTTCAGCTATTACTAGGGTAGTTTTCAACATGTTACTTTATGCCTCATATTGAATCAGTTATTTTTAGGTCTAAAAAAATTTCGCTTTCCTTATAAGAAATGTTAAAGACGTTAGGATTATTTCTGCCATTAAATTAATTGTTTTTGGTTTTACGAGAAGTTTTTTTGTACTCTTGACTGTTCAGTTTTGAGTCATTTGGCCTGTTTGAACTGCAATAAAATTAATAAATGAATAATATATATTATGTAATTGACTTCACTATGGACTATTTCTGTAATGTGATTAATACAAAAAAATAAGAATAAGAAAATGTTTGTAAATTTCACATAATATTATTGTACATGCATAAATACAAGTATTCAAAATATATCTTTTTTAATTAATTAAATGTTATTGATAATGAATTGAAGGTATATGTTGTATAAAAGACTATAGAGAATTTGTTTTTTATAGGCATTTGGATATATCTCAGTCGTCTGAAAAAATGGGACTGTATCAAAAAGAAAACGAGGCTCTGGCGTACATCGTCGATAACCTACCAAATCTCACATCCCTTGACATATCAGGAACAAATCTGGCCGGAAGAGGTACTGTAATCCCCAATACGCTTTATTTTTAGTGGTCTAAATATATATATATTTTTTTAGGAGTGGCTGAACAAAAGTTTTCACTGGAAAAATCGAGGACGGACATACCTGGGCTTGCATCACGGGTCGACAGGCCTTTGGAGTTCCTCGGCCTTTATGGAACGTTGCACGGGGCGTGCAGGAGGCACGACATCCCAGCGAAACATGTCAGTCACCAAATATTCATTTAACCGAACATTCTGTTTAACGATTGCCCATCGTTCTAGATTTCGGGTGATGCTAACGAAAGGCAGATCTTAGTCGCGGCGGCTTCTTATCTCGAGAGGCCAGACATCCTGCAGCGAGTGCTCAATGACCTCTACCTGCTTTTTAGATACGACAACTGCCAGGACATCAAGACAGCTTTAGCAGTCGTTTTAGAAGCGATGGACAGACACGTTACTATTAAACACATACAAATATCCGGAAGGTCAGTCGATATTTGTTCTCTTTATCTTTAGCCCAGATGTCTGAATGGTTTTTCATTTTAGTGCCACTCTCTTTTATATTGTGAAAAGCAAAGATACACGTCCTACGAGCTGTCGGACAAAACAAGCTATTATCACGACACTTTTAAATGGAATGAATACCCACAGGAATGATGACACTATGTTAAGAAATGGCTGTCTTACTTTATGTCAATTTAAAATTCCCAGTGATGTCGTGAGTTGATGTCTAACGTTCTTCATTTATTGTAGAAAAATTTTCTAAAAAATGTTCTTTTTAGCTTTTTGAATATAAAAGGCTTGTAAGCATCCTTTTACATATTGTTTCTGAAATGGAACAAGAAGGCTTTGTACAACGCATTGGAATATACCTTTTGAACTCTCTCGCTTGCCAAGTGGAAGGTTCACAAAAGCAACTCTTAGGTGATCTCGGCGCTATCAATGTAAATTTTAAATCAATGTAGTTTTAAACATAACCGTACGTAAATATTCACATGATTAATTGAAATTCAGAGGATGCTTGTAATCATCAATAACAGAGTTACGAGAAAATCTTGCGATGATGTATTAGAAGTCGCTTGGTCGACGATGTGGAATGTCACGGACGAGACTGCTGTTAACTGTCAGAGATTTCTTGATGGAAAAGGAATGCAGTACTTCCTCGGATGTCTTAAAGTATGAAACAGTTTATAAATCTATTTAATTGTTTATTATCATTGTTTTCTTGTTTTAGATGTTCCCCGATAAAGACGAACTCATGCGGAATATGATGGGTCTACTCGGAAATGTCGCCGAAGTCAAACATCTCCGCCCGAGGTTGATGACGACCGAATATATATCCGTGTTCGCAGACCTGGTCGATTCTACCAGTGATGGAATTGAGGTTGAAATTTTGATTTAGATATATTGATTAATTTATATAAGCACAATTCTGTACATACACATATAAAATCAAACTTCCCTATAATGGACAATAATTTTCTATATTATCATCATCAACATCATCAAATAAATCACAGTCTTTGGCAATGTTAGGACTGTCGTTCTTCAAGAAAATTTGAGATTAAGGTTAAGAAAAAAAAAATACAGGGTGGCCCAGTTCCTTCTGACGAAACTCAGGGAATCGATTCTACTCTTTGTTTGGAGCAAAAAATGCTCAGGAGAAAATTTTTGGAAAGTTCTCTATTTTGAAGATATTCGTCAATTTAGGTTTTTTTCAACTTTTCTGTACCTTACCACATAAAAACGCTTACCACTTCCAAAATGTTGAGACTACAACAAATCCAATTACACCATTTGAAAGAACGCTAAATTTGCTGTAAGATACTTTTATGTGCAATAATCTGAATTGAATAAAATGTTAGCCAATATCAGTTGGAACATGTCAAAATTACAAAATTTAAAACTGAGGTTACAATTTCACAAAAACTTCTTCATCTAATATGCTTTACGTTGATTTTTCATCTCTATAGAACATTATTTAAAAACCTGGATATATCAACGTAAATCATATTAGATGAAGTTTTTGTGAAATTTGTCAAGTTGTAGGTATTTTTTTGTAACCTCAGTTTAATTTTTTAAAATTTTAAAACAATTTTAAATTTTGTTTGGCGTATCAAGCCGAAGGTCGTGGGTATGAATCCCGCTCGTGACACTGATTTTTTTATCTCAACTTAAAACCTTAATTAATTGAATATTATTAATTGGTCAAGCGGATCATGAAAAATAGTGAATTTAAATTTTGTAATTTTAACATGTTCCAACTGATATTGGCTAACATTTTGTCATTCAGATTATTGCAAATAGAAGTATCTTACAGCAAATTTAGCGTTCTTTCAAATGGTGTAATTGGATTTGTTGTAGTCTCAATATTTTGGAAGTTGTAAGCGTTTTTATGTGTTAAGGTAGTGAAAAGTTGAAAAAACCTAAATTGACGAATATCTTCAAAATAGAGAACTTTACGAAAATTTTACCCTGAGCATTTTTTGCTCCAAACGAAGAGTAGAATCGATTCCCTGAGTTTCGTCAGAGGGAACTGGGACACCCTGTATTTTGCCTTTGCCCTGATGATGACATTTGTTTAATGAGGGAATTTTAATTACGAGGTTATATGAACCCTCAGGGTGAAGGCATTTTGAAAAAAAGTAGGTCGAAAGCTTGCCAGTAACAAATGAGGTGTTTAAATTTAATTATTTAAATTTTTATGTGGATTATTTTCATCTCACTGCACATTACATAAAAATTATAAATGAATTTAAATAATCACGTTGGTTTACTAGGACCAACTAAAAGCATATAGACTAATAAAAATAATTCAGAAAACAAGATATCTACCAAGTACTAGATAAAATAAAACAAACTTTTTTCCTCCAATGAAGTAAATACTGACTCCTGTGCTCAAGCAGAATTCTCATTTTGGGTGTTATTCCTACACACTCTCTATATGGAGCCAAGGAAAGGCCGATCCAGACTTTTTGGGAAAAAAAATTGTGGCATTGTGTTAATTTTTAGTCTTTTGGATTTTATCTGCCTTCTTCTTTCAATTAGGCATTAAGCTACATTTAGCAACTCTACCTCTACAGATTTAGAAATAAATTAATTGTTTTATTTATAAATTTGTCTTGTGTAGGTTAGTTACAATGCAGCAGGAGTTCTTTCTCATATGGCATCTGACGGGCCGAAAGCTTGGACTATCACTGTACCGTCACGAGAAACGGTTCTCAGAAGGATGGTGGCCGCCATTGAAAGATGGCCCCTTGAAACTTTAAGGAATATAAATTACAGGTCAGCGATTAAACAAATTTTAAAATACAAATTTAAGTTGTATTATTTACTTTTTGAATTCCGGTATGTTGCATAATCACAACAAGAGATTGACTTTTTTAAATCAAGAATGCGGGTTTAACCATCGTGTAATATTGTAAATTTTAACAGTTAATCTAATGTGAGTCAATAACATAATTAAGATATTCTATTTCAAAATAATGCTATTAAAATGGATTATGGGCCTATCTTATCTTTTAACACTCATGTTTGAATTTTTTTGTCGTCAATTTAAGTGATATTTCCATTATATTTTTTTTCTGTTGTGAATTAATTAAAATTAGCTTAAATTTTACATGTTTGTTAGTTTGGAAATGATGTTGGTGCCATCACACAACTGATTAAACTACAAATGCTGACATTTTGTACTGCATAATTATTAAAAAAAAATATTAGAGCCTGGATTTATATGCAATAAAAATCCTCAAATGTGTCATATAATTTGTACTACATTAAGCTCTTGACTTTTTCATTTTATATTCATAGAAGCCTAGTTTATTTTTATTTTCCTAAGCAATCATAAATATTTCAAATTTGCATTATTCTTAAATTATGCAAAAAAATAAAGAATAAAATTTTAAACGTTCAGGTCTGATCAGCTTGGTCGTGTTAGCAAAAAGAATATGCAGTTGAGTATAAATCTAGGCTCGACTTTGTCTTTCTCCTAGATAACAATTTATTTTCAACTTAAGCAGTTTATAATAATAATAATCAATTACAGTTTGTGGTCCGATTGACCAATTGACTTTTTTCAATTAATTAATATTTATGAAAGGTATTGGTTGAGATAAAAAAGCCAGTGTCACGAGTGGGATTCGAACCCACGACCTTCGGCTTGATACGCTGCTGCTCTACCACTTGAGCTATCGTGACTTCGATCCACTCAGACACCAACTCCCATCTCAACCTCACCTGTCAAATTTTCCCTCCTTTTTTGCCATTTTTCTATGTTTATTTTGTACAAATAACAGTAAATATAATTTCTTAAATTCACTAATTTTTTGGTCCGCTTGATCAATTAATATATTACAATTAATTAAGGTTTTTAGTTGAGTTAAAAAAGTCAATGGCACGAGCGGGATTCCAACCCACGATCTTCGGCTAGATACGCCGTTGCTCTACCACTTGATCTATTGTGACCTCAATCCACACGGACACTAACGACATTTGAAAAATGGCAAAAAGGAAGGAAAATTCAAAAGGTGGGGTTGAGATGGGAAGTTAGCGTCCAAGTGAATCGAGGTCACGATAGCTCAAGTGGTAGAGCAGCAGCTTTTCTAGCCGAAGATCGTGGGTTCGAATCCCGCTCGTGCCATTGACTTTTTTATCTCAACTAAAAACCTGAATTAATTGTAATAAATATAATAAATTTAAAAAAACTTTAGTAAACAATAGTAAATAAACCATTGAATATAATTTGTAGGTCATTCGAGCCCATCCTTCTTCTTGCAAAAGTGAGCCATACACCAGAGTGCCAGCATTGGGCCGTCTGGGCTCTTGCCAATCTGACTATGGTTTACCGTATGTTTATTTTATTTTTATTTTCTATTTAATGTTCGCCTTGTATAACACTTCGATCCATTTCAGCCGACAAGTACTGCAGTTTGGTCGAAGCCGAAGGTGGAATCGCCATTTTAACCGATATCATTAACGATACAAGGCCTTACAAGAGGATCAGAGACCTTGCCGAAAAGGTTATCACCGTTTGTGAACTACATCGAAATAGATCAAGTTATCTCAACTTTAATGTCGAATCAAATTCTTCATTACAACTTGACGGTTGAATCCAAATAAACAGTAAAACAAAAACTGCCGACTAAGTTAGACAACTGTAGTCACTCTCGATGTTCGAAAAGATCCCTAAAACTATCTCCTCTGGGCAAAAATATCTAAGAAATTAGGGATTACTTCTTGATATTTATATATTTTGTTTACAACTTTACAGACCTTATTCAATTCTGGGTTCATTTATTTATTCAATAATGCTATACAAGCATTATTTGTTTTTCATTTTGGACTTTTATTTGCCAAAGGGATACTCGCTTTAATTTTATATATTTTAATTATAGAGAGAGGACTACATTTTGTGAACCTATTAAACCGTAATACATAACTTCAATGTCGTGTACTTAGAGAACATGTATTAATACGTATGTTATTGTTGTATATAACAAAACCGGAATAATCTGAGAATTTAAAACTAACTTCCTTCTAATGTAATATTGTAAATATAACAATTTTAAATTAGATATATATCGCAGTAAGAAATACTGTTATTTTATGAAACAACAAACTTCCTTGAAATTTAACTTTAGTTTTACAAAAAGCTAAGTGTTTCTTGCGAAAAAGGAGAAACCACATAAATTAATACTAAATGCACAGATAAAAACTGATATTGATGTGGGAAAATTAAATTTTGTTTTACGACTGTTGATCGGACTATGCAGACTCGAATCTATACAATTTAAGAGCGACATTTTTCAAAGTCGATATTTTTTGTTTTATTTAAAAGACGATTTGTGTGGTTTTACAATTTCAGCAAGGTTTGTAATAGTAATAAAAGAATTGGTAATTATAAATCATCTTGTTACTGTCTGTGATATTTGAAGAATGAAATATTTGCAATTGCAGAATCTCTGGAAATTTAAAATACTGACAAAGTGTGTCGCTCTTACCAGTCGGTCGGTAGGCAGAGAATTGTTTACCGAAGTTAAGCGGTTGTCGGTTAAAGTTAAAAATGGATCAATTTTTTCGAAATTGTCCATCAATTGTTCAATAATGTCAGATATTTAATTTAATTTTTCATAAATAAAATATACTTATTGGTGTTAGTTGGAATATCCACAACTAGTTTCCCATTCTTGATGTTAATATTTTAAGAATTGTATTTGTATTTTGCAAAAAAAAAAAAATTGTTCTTGTTTTAAAATGTTAAAGGTGATTTAAATTGATTTAACCGATTTCAATCAAAGTATTATTTTTCAAGGTAAATGTAAATAATTTTTACCGGTATTAACTAATAAAAAAATGTTAATATTTCTAAATTTTCTTATTGTTGCTAAAGTAGTAAATTGTTACATTTTGCTTTTCAATTTCCAGTTGCTGTTTATTTTTTGTTTCATCTTAATACTAATAATAAAAAAATATATATATAGTTTAGTTTATTTATTTTAAAAGTGAGATTATTCCAATAAGGTTCATTTTAACAAGCATTGTTGACTTTTCTAAATTTAGTTTATTTTTGAACAATTTGAAAGATGTATTTAAAAGAAATAAGATAATTATTGGCTGCTAATAATGAGTTTTTAATTTAAAAAGCCTATATCTTTATATTTTTTAATCCATCTTCATTTTAAGTTTATTATTCTTGTAAGGTTCAAGTGCTTGAAAACATTATTGGGACTGATTTTAAGATGTTGAAATGTGTTATACTGATTCTCCACCACTACATGAACACCCAGCCTTGTTTTTCATCATGCACCGAAATCCGGTGAAAGCTTTGAATCTCTCTTGCATGTTTTAGGTGCACCAATTCCGTTCAAAAATTGACACTCAGATATTATACTCTGATGGACAAAATTAATGCTTTCCTTTAAATTTTAATGTATTTAGTTTTATTCTTACTCTGCATACCAAAAATAGGTTTGGTTATAAAAATAAGTCTTTAAAAAAAAAAAAATTGTCCCCTTTAGTACCAAGTATTTACACCTCTGGCACAAATTATATCCTTTAAAAGCCTTTACATTCCTTGGAAATGATTTCTGTTAAAATCCTGAGGAATTCATTCCCATTCATCAAGAACAGCTTATTCCAACTCTTCTAGGGTGTTTGGACCTGGGTTTCGCCATCATACTCGTTGCATAAGTTGGTCCAACTTCATTCAGGTAGTCATCCACAATACTCTTTGGGACTTGGCATTAGCGACAATCTCTCGGGTTGGGTCAGCATCAGAAAAAGGAATGTCTTTCAACCATGATCGGTTCAGCATCTTCTAAAACTTCTTCGCTGATTAGTTTCACGCCGATGGCTGCCGTGACCCACGACTATGCACAGGTCTGACAATATGCCAAAATATTGCCTACATATGTAAAGCCTTCTACAATAAGCATGCGGAGAAAGGTTGCTCGATGTGCCCCACCTAATTGAAGGGTGTAACTCCCTTGGTTCTTCAGGTTAGTTGTATAATATGTGTAAATGTTGAGAGTGAATGTATTTATTAGAGTGAATGTGTGATGTGGGAGGGTCGGTGGTGGAATATCGAGTACCCCATCGACCCTCAGTTAGGTTAGTTGTATAATATGTGTAAATGTTGAGAGTGAATGTATTTATTAGAGTGAATGTGTGATGTGAGAGGGTAGATGGTGAAATATCGAGTACTCATCGACCTTCAGGTTAGTTGTATAATATGTGTAAATGTTGAGAGTAAATGTATTTATTAGATTGAATGTGTGATGTGAGAGGGTCGGTGGTGGAATATCGAGTATCCCATCGACCCTCAGTTAGGTTAGTTGTATTATATGTGTAAATGTTGAAAGTGAATGTATTTATTAGAGTGAATGTGTGATATGAGAGGGTCCCCTTTTAGGTTTCCCCTTAACCCCAATTAGGTTACCCCGAATCTGCCAGTAATTTACCGAAATGGCAAAATCTGGAATTGCTGGGGGTCTAGAAGAAGCAAATAGGCTCAACTCGGGGGGGGGGGGTTGTAAAATTGAGCCAACCACATGGCGTATGGGATTAACCAAAGTAGGTATGTAAAATGTGCCAGTTATGGTTTTACTGCCTGTACCAGGAGGTGTAAAATGAGCCTATGGCATGAGGAAGAAGTTGAAGTCACAAGTACATAATGTAGGTGTAATGCCATCAAAAGCACATCTGTCAATTAAACAAACCATGAATTATTTAGAGTGAACTTAACGGGGCATTGCCATCGGAGTTCCCTATGAAACACAGAGATGCTTTCAAAAAACTGGGTCCTACCATAGAAGGCCTGGTTCTGGACACCCTAGGGTAACAGAACACAGGAGGACCGTTTTTTGACTGAAATTTTGCGAAACGGGCACCTTACTCAAGCGATTCACCAGTTTGGGGTGTCCAAATTTCTGAATGCAATGCTCGAAGAAGATTAAATCAGTACGCACTGATGGCTTTTCGCCCCGTAAGAGGACCAGAATTGACCAGAACACACAGTGCTGCACGACTCGCATTTGCTCGAGAACACAGCCATTGATCTTTGTATGATTAGTCTGCTGTACGTTTTTCAGGTAAGTGTAGATTTGCTGTTTGATCTTCAGATGGGCGTAAAAGAGTGTAGAGTAGGCGAAATGAATGGTACGAAGCCTGTAATTTTTCCCAGAGCCGATCCTTCAACGTAGCTCAGAGATGGTGGGCGTAAATGTCGATGGAGAGTCGCACAGAGTTGGTTGTTGTTCGTGGAGGGTCTTTGACGGTCACTCGCTATGTGGATGAAATTTTGGAACATCATGCGTTGCCTATCCTCGACGAAATCAGCTATTCTAATGCGTCCACATGTCGCTTGCATAGTACAAACCTACCTTCAACAGCATAACATCAGGGTCTTTGCGTGGCCGTTCTCCAGATTTGAACCCCATCGAACATGGGATAACCTCAAAAGACGAATAAGATCACATCCATCACTAATACACTCCACGATCTTGAAAGTTCTCTTCGTGACGAGGGGCCAACCTCCAGCAAAGAGAAATTTCCAGACTGGCAGAAAGTATGCTGAGGCGTCTTCGCTATATTACAAGTGGGTGGAAGTTTTTACCTGTCAGTGAATATATTTCGCACACCTAATTTTTGTCTATAATTGTTTTTTCTTATAAATAAAAACATTACTCCATTTATGTTTACTGGTCTAATTAACCATATTAAATAAAAGTATTTCGTTGCTTTAATAAGAAATATCTAAAAGTTAAAAGATCTAACATCGATGGTTTGACGTCGTTGTCCTATCCTTAGACGCAGCCGGGTTTAGGTTGACTCGCTTCTCTTCGGCCGGCTCTTTTTACACCAAGGATTAAGGTTGGCGAATATTCCCATTCTCCCTCGTCAAGTAGCTCATTTCGGCCTTCGCCTCAACTCGGCACATGTTTGTATGTATGTTCTGTATATGTGCTGATTTGAGCTTGTATAAATCCAAATCCAATCCTTCTACAATTACAAAGGTGCTCGACTGTTATTTCATCTTCACCTAACGGACATGTACGCGCTCGCTTTCCTGCCAGAAGGTGGCCATGGGTTATTCTTGTATGACCTATGCCTAGTCTTATCCCACATTTATAACGTACATATAAGTGTGGAGTTGTATGCTTGAAATTTCGAATTTGGCCAAATCCGATCTGCGGTTTAACAAATCCCAATTAGAAATAGCATTTTATGTATATTCAGTGGGCCGGAAGCGATATTGTGCGTGAACATTTGCCAAAGAGGACGGGCGGTGGCGGTGGCGGTGGCGGAGGAGGAGGCGGAGGTGGCATGATGTTAGGCACGCCTTGTCATTTGTGTAATTACATAGAATGATTCCTCTTTTGGTGGGATGATTGCCGGGCGTGGTATTTTGACAAGGCCGCCCCACAACACAACAACGTAACGCAATCTCAACCCTCTTCCGACGACCCGACCCCTTGCCTTTCATCAGCAATTGACAACTCTTTGTAATATCAATTTTCTGACGGTTACGTCAGTGTAAACAATCTGAATCTGAAGCAAAAGGGTGCAGATGTGGTTGAATATAAATTTCGAACGTAAATTTAATTATTGGCCACCGAAGAAAACTGCCCTTGCTCGGTATAAGTTTGTACTTGTGGATATTAATTATGAAAATGGGATTTATTTATTTAAATACTTACTTTTATATACAATGAAAACAATTTTAAGTCGCAAAAAAATTAAAAATAAAATAAGAAAATATATTATATTGCAAAAGGAGTACTCTAGAGAGTGTAAATGAACGGATGATGTAATTTATTAGCGCGAATAGAGGCCTTATTCCCAGTTGCCATCATGATCAAGATGATACAGGAACTCAGGAGGAGAGCATCCGCAGAGCCATTAATAAAAAACATATATAAACAACAGAAATGGATGTTAGAAAAAAGGTCGTCTTGGCATGGGACGGTCACACCGGTATAACTGGGAACAAGGCGATAAGGTAGCGATGTTAGTCACTACGAGACCACACGAGCCCACCCCCTCTGTATGACCATAGATTTTTACAAAGAACGAACGCTAATGCTACAACAAAT